AAAACAGTCAAAGCCGTAGTAGGTCTGCTAACAGGGCACTATAAGTTGAACAGGCAGATGAAGCTGGCAGATGAGCACATCTATGTCAGTGTGACAGCGTATGTGCGGTTCTTTGCTAGGTGAAGAAAAGCCACCAGCAAAGAGCAACATGAAAAGTTTGGTCTCGAAGTTATTAGACCATTTAAAAAGAGTCAGGCTAGAGAATGTAATCTAAAAAGATCGCAGTGGAAAAAGACAAATGCCACCTTATTGAATATATCTTGACTTGTGCATGTCCAGTAAGGAAGTCCGTCCAATAAACATTTTGCCACCTTCTTGACCGTATATATTTTCCCAGTGAGAGTTATGTTGTGATCGAATTAAGACTTTAATCCAGTCGCAGAGAGTGCTTTTTGATACTCCTAAGCTTTGGAAATACTTCAAGTCTTTATAGCTAAAACTAACAAAATCATCCACAATTTTTTATTAAAAAAAAACACAAAATTCCTACATTCCCTTAAAAACAGTACGCCACCTGCAAATTGGAAACTTGTAGATGCGTACAGTTTTTGAAAAAAAATCTTCCTTCCAGTGCTTTTATATATCCCAAACTGTAACGTTATTGTTGATATTTATTCTCTGTGTAGACTACAGAAACTCTGTTATTTATACAGAACTAAGAAAAACAAGCGTTTTTGTTCCAAATTCCAATAAAATACTACTTTATACCTGTAATAATTAACGATATGTCTAAAACACAAGAATACCACACCATTGAAACAAGGGTCTAAGAAGAATCACAACCTATATCGATCCATATGCTAACCCAGATCTAGATCAAGTCTTTCTTCGGCTCATCCCGTATATAAAGTTGCGTTTATGCAAAAACGTATAAAGCAAATTAAACTTCAAGCGATATTATGCTCTAGAGATTAATATGTATATCGTTTTTACGACTGATAATTATTGTGTTTGTCGTCTTTTTTCTGCTATAATTTTAATTATTTCAATTTCGTAGGCGTTAAGGTCATTACTGGTATACTGGAGACAATGGTCTGCCTTCTTGATTTTAATTATTAACTAACTTATTAAAGGAAAATAAAACGCCGTTGCTGTTATGAACGTATGGGAAATTACAATATTTGCGTAATTTGGTTGGTGTCACTCAGTTCGGATTTTAAACCGTATTGGGAATACGAGAAGCTCTTTCTGCATTAAATGTGTTAACACACCGACACAGGAATATAAATATGTACGTTTTATTGGACTTATCATGGAAAAGCATTTGACTGCGTTAAACATCAAAAGATGATCGAAATTCTAAAAACAATTGGAATTAACGAACAAGACTTGCGAATTATCTTACAACCATATTGGCACCAAACGGCAACAATTGAAGTACAGCATACAACATCCGAAGATATAAGAATCCGACGACGAAGAGTGCAAAATGCTTCCAAAACTAAAATTCTAGTATGTTCGAATAAGAGGGGAAAACATTCATAAACATGAAAACATTTTTTACAAGTTCATACCTTAGTCTAGAGCTCAGAACCCGCATGATCAGAAGATCATGCGGGTTCTGAGTGCAGCAGTTTCCAAAGCTACAATTGCCATGTGGAAGGTCAACCTTCGAAAGAAGAAAGCGCAATAAGAAGAAGAGATCCCAAATGAAAACGGAAGCCGGAAAATTAACTTAGCAGCCTAAGAGGTACAAGACATACCTCCTTAAAGATAAACAACCGTTGAAAAGGCTGGGTGCTTAAGGACCCGCCAGCATTCTTCCTTTGCTTAAAGAAGATTTAAATTCAAATCTCATTACGTTGGAAAATTTAGAAGTTAAAGAAATAGTAGTTGTGCCCGACTCAGTGTCAAATACCTATAAGATCATAAATGTGTTTACCCTTATCTATATCAAATTTAAGTGACAACCCTTGTATAAGCGTTTAGTACCAAACACATGTCTAGAATAAAGAGTGAAACATATAAATACAGCATATGCGAGTCTAATATAAACACTTTTGGAAACTAGGTTATTACAAAAATAATTACTATACTTTCTTACCCATAAATTGTTATATATTGGAAATGCACTATTAAAACTTATATAAAATGTTTCAAACTGGAATACCCGAATTCCTTTCGAATCACAGCAGTCGTACCACAAACTCAATGTCAAAGCAAACTCGTTTTTATTCCATTCGACAACAGGGACTGACAGTCACTTATTAAAACATCATTCACATTTTAAACTGACAACAAATAACAAATCCGCATAATTTCCATGTTATTCGTTAAACTAATTATTTCACGGGTGCACCAAGGCTGTACCGGACATCATTTTGACGAAAAAAGGAATACAAGTGAATTGCTACGAGCTTCCGATTGATTAATTGTCGGTATTGTTGCGTCGTGAACACCGTTTTCTAAAATAACATACATATCTACAGACGATTTGTTGTACAAAGAGGTAGGTTGTAGTGACGGTACACGCGACAAAAATTATTATGCGTTAAATTACAAAGATTCCTTTAGATCTGAACGTAGGAGGAATTCCCAAATTGGTTGACCCAGATGATCAGTATACAAAAGTTGTGTATAATTTATTTTAATAAATAAATTTACTTTTGCAATGAATATTTTTTTCTATTATAGAATCTAACATAGATCAATATGAATACCAAATGAAATTTGTCTATTGATATTCATTACAATAAAATAAACATTACATTCATTTGTCAGGTCATGGTTGAATCTGTTTCAATATATCTGTTTATGGTTTATTACTTTCTTCATCATTCTGCTTGCCTTTATGTATATATGAGGTTTATATTCCCGATTTGGCTTTCTCCAGATGTTTCTATGTTGGATCATACACATATTTACTACCTTTACAGACTGTCTGTTATCTGATATGTCTCAAACCAGTTATTTTGTGCCTTGCTTTAGTCTTTCTAAAATTCAACACACAGCGACTCTTAACGTAAGGTGATTCTAATTGTGGCCTTCTTCTTCTTCTTCTTCAAGTGCCCTGTCCGTTACCAACGTTGGCTATTAACATGGCAATTTTGATCTTGTTTGCGGCGCTTCTGAATAGTTCGACCGATGTGAGCCCGAACCACTTCCGCAGATTTTGGAGCCACGAGTGTCTTCTCCTGCCTGGCCCTCGGTTACTGTCTATTTTTCCCTGGACAATCAATTGTAACAGACGGTACTTATCGTGTCTCAATATGTGGCCTAGATATTCAAGCTTTCTTTGTTTAATTGTATTCACGATTTCTTTCTCCTTTCCGATTCTTTGGAGTACCTCTATGTTGGTGACATGTTCGGTCCAGGATATACGAAGAATGCGTCGGTAGACCCACATTTCGAATGCTTCTAGTTTTCTATTGCGACCTTGAAATTGATATATCCAAATTAACTTGGCATCGACAATAGACCGAGCCACTTTATTACTGCAATGTATCACTAAATATCCGACCATCATTAAACCTTTAGATAAAAGAAAAATAATAAAAATTTAAAAATGAAACCAGTTGGTTGTTCAATATTTGCTCTTGTAATTATGAAAACAGACAATTGTGTAAGTGTGACAAGACTAGCAAGCTACAAATATTTTAAGAAAAAAAATTACAGAAAATTGTATAAGGCTCAAAGGCAATCTACTAATTCAGTTCAGGGATAACTCAAATGACACAGAATTTTGCCGTATTCTATTGTTAAGCCGAAGAAAGATAATACAGTCGACAGAAAAAAGACTAAGCTTTTTCAGACTTCAAAAGCTGCCGATTTTAGAGATGTATCTAATAGAGCTGCTGCAAAAATTACAAACGCTGTTTTAGAAGATCTAAACTTAATTTCCAAAGATAATACAACGCTAGTCATCGACAAAAATAAAATTCGGAGAGGAGTTCAGGAAAACATACGGCAACTCCAGCATGCGAACAAAAATTTAAACAAGTCAAATAAAGGTATATACTTCGATGAAAGAAAAGATTAAACCATGATCTTCAAAAACGCGAGGCAAATCATGAAAACTAAAGAGCATATAGCTTTAATTTAAGAACCATACAGTTTATATTTTGGGTCCTTAGCTCTTAGCCAGTCTCGTGCTATAGATATTGCCGAAGGAATACAAAGCCGTAACATAAATCTAAGCAAAGTAAGTGTTAGGGGACGTCTCTGTACAAATGTCAATATGGGCTGGAAAGGTGAAATCATTCGGATTATAGAAACGCTAGCAAATAAACTATTACAGTGGATTGTTGTGTGGATTGGAGTGTCTGTTGCACGCTAATGAACATCTACGACATTTGCTGCAAAAACAAGATGGCTACACAACAGATCCCTATTCATATTTTGGGCCGATTGGATCCCTCCCTTCTTCCCAACTTCGAAAAAACGGCTGTTATTAAATTTAAACCCATAGAAGCTGTCCTGTCTCTTATAAATGAAAATGATCTAAGTACAGGTCAACAGTATTTATACAAACTATCTAAAACAATTGGAAGTGGAATATGTTATCAAAGTTTGGCAGAGAGAAGTCCAGGAAAGATGGCACACTTAGCTTGGTTATCTACGGCTTACCGCATGCTTAGTGTTTATTTGGCTGTAACTGATACTTGTGAAAGCTTAAAGATTTTAGCTGAGTTTGTAATAAAAGTATATTCTTGTATGTGGTTTGAAAAAAAATCACAACTACGATTAGAATATGGTGCCAGGTATCCATAAAAATTAATTCGGGTCTCGAGAGATTTTCCGAATAATGTGTCATCGATTATCAATAAAGATATTGAAGACAATGCTTAAATACGTAAACATAGTAGAGAGGTTACGGTCAACAAAATTTTAAAATTTAGGAAAGCGAACATAAAAAATCGTATTTTGGAAGTATTTTAAACCAATTTTGACGTAGAATATTACATAGATCTCATAGACTAGATTAATAGTACTCCTCTATTCTATCTAGAATAAACAGAGCCTCCTCTACCATAGCATTTGGCGATAAGGAATTGTGAGATATGGTGAAACAAATTCCAAATTTCGACAATTTTCCTTGCCATACTCAAGCGATGGAAAGATGTGTTAAGATAATTACTGATGTATCAATAAAAGTGTGTGATGAAGAATCTAGAGATGGTTACATACGAGCTAAACTAAATACCAGAAAGAATTTGCCGATATGTGAAAGTAATTGTCAATACTATGCTTCAAGAAGGGAGTAAGTAAAAATGTTGAGCAAAAGAGGGTGGGTGGGTGGTATTTCCGTGCATATATCTCCTCGTGGTGAGTACTGGGTTGAATGAATATACGGAATAATGTTTAAATATATATAGTTATAAAATATTATGTATAAATATACATAATATTTCAATGTAAAACCTTCCGTGTCGAATATTGATTCAAGCAAAGAGCTCTACAGTTCACAACACATAAATAGCAAATGTGCATTTTCCCTCCCGTTTACATTTTTAGTCCTGGGGGTCGTTTAATTTTTTTTAGATTATGATGAACATTTTTTAACGAGATAATAGCATCGTCATTATTATTTTAGACACTAGACTGCCCCAAAAATACCACCAGGCCACAAAAAAGTAAAAACTTTTTTTGTGGCCTGGTAAAAAATAATTTATTTCGGATTATGTTTGGAACACAGTATTAGTACTATATACCACTTTTTTGTACTAGCCCGTTTAAAATTTCGCAAAAAAATTTTTTTCTTTGGTCCGGCCTAATCGACAGCCACCTCACCTAGACTATCCCAATATTTATTCTGAGTTTTATCCCTTTTTGTAAAGATGGAGAGAATATATAAGCTAAGTTTCTCATTAACATACATTGTAGAAACTCTACTCATATTTTCTCCTAAAAGTGTTAATTTAAATAAATATTAGAAACATCAGAACTTACCTCCATTTTGGTCGTACTTTCGAAGTAAGTCGAATTTCGATTATGATTTAGATTCCGATAAGAGCCTAAACTCAGACGATTTTTATTCCCGTTTGTACACAGTGATGGAACCAATGTGTCCTATAAACTCTGATATCAGCTCTTATATTTTAAAAATCTTGCTAAGAAACTTGTCAGACTCTACCAATATTTATACAGATATATCATAGACTACTCGTAGCACTGGATGCGTTTTCTTTAACTGACCAATATATAATATGAACCATCATAGATAATCGTACTGTTGAAATTTAATGTTTGGAACGAAATATGGAAGATTGTTTCAGCATTAATGACATGTAGTGGTGTTTGGTTTTTAGTAAATCTAGAAGGGACATTTAATAATTTGGCATTTGTGGATAATAATAAAGTATTCGATTCCATAGAACTATGGGCCGGCCTACCTTATGACCTAAGGAATGGGCACCTTGACACTTACAATCAGACAATATACAATAAGAACAACACAGAGGGCCATCGAATGAGATGATCGTTGCTCTGAGATAACATATACGAAATGAGGAAGTACGCAGCAGGACAAAGGTGGAAGATTTCATTAGAAGAATTGCGTAAACGAAATGCAACTCGGTGGAACACCTGGCACGAGAAGACAACGAAATATGGACGAGAAACATTGTACATTGGAGACTACGCAAACACGGTCGTTGTAGAGGTCACCACAAAAATGGTGGCTAGACGACATAAAAGCAAAAGTGGGGAGAAACGGGCATCAGATAACACAAAACAGAGAAGAGTGAAACAGAGTCCTGGAGAGATGCAGACCGAAAAAGAAGAAGGAGAGGAGAAGATACGGAGAAAAAAATTGATTTAGTTGGATGTATGGAGATATACAACCAAGTGGCCGTATGAGTCTAGTCTTAGAAGCTCTAATAAGCCTTCTTCTTTAGGTGCTCTTTCTAATACCGTAGATTAAACAATCTTTTCTCCATTTATCGACATAGTATATTAAATTTGTCTCCTCGTTAAATGTGTTTGAAATAATAAATTTTACATATTTTATTAAAACGGTACAATTGAGTATCGAAGGACCCAAAAAGAAAATGCATAAGAATATAAAAAAGGCATGTTGAGAAAATTCAATGGAACATATGTACTACGTTTAAAGATTACATGACTTCCTTCAAAAGTAATCGTACGGACGGATAATGACGTGATTTCAAGAAGGGCCTGCCGGGGTCTAAGTAATTCTTTAAAGCAAATCAATGCTTTTTTAAAAATTGGTTAACGCACCCACATAATATGAATATAGTTTATCTTAATGTGACATACCCAATTTGAAAGGGTATTAATTCCTCTGAAGATTTATGTGTTATGTATCAAGTCTACACATAAATACGGGACCTACAGTTTAAGATCGATTCGGTGCCAAAGGGGTATACATACACTCAACTTTGAACTACCTATACCACATGGATATAGCCGCAATAATAATAAAAAAATAATTAATTTAGTAGGAGGCAGTGAGACGTAATTATATAACAAAGTGAATGGCAATGAACATTAAAAAATAATAATCTGTATACTTACATGTAACAACCATTAACAGTTAATATTTTAATAAAATCATAAAAATCACCTAACAGTTTTTGCAGTACATAATTAAATAATTAATATAGCAATTTGTATTAAAGTTTATTATTTTTCTTCATTGTTTTATTGGCATTTTATATAAAATAAAATAAAAAAAACATCATTATACTCCAGTCGTCACAGGCGAAAATGCCACTGAACCTCTAAAAATCATATGAACACGCTGAATTTTGCCGATAATGTCAATTTTAGGACGCCAAAAAATATTCAAAACAGTTTACCACTTTTACCCTCGGGTTTTCTCCTAAAAACCCTTCTTAGAGAAGGGGGTTTTGGGAGAAATACGAGAAATAAACATAATGACGGTACTAGATTGTGAGTTGATACAGAGCAGCGACAAGCCGCTTATACGTATTTCGACCTCTAGAGGTCTCCTCAGAGCGGTATAGCCACTACTCCGTATCGAAACAAAATCTATTCCCGTCGTAGACAATACTTATCAAAATAACTATATACAGACGTAACTACGCCATCTAAGAATAAAAAGAGAAATCATACGATTTCTACCTGGCGAAATCGAATTCAAATCTTAACCACTGTGCTTTCTAAAACTTGCAAAGCAAACAGTTTGATGATTTTTAGCTTTTTAACATAGCCTTATATAAAGTCGTATGAGGCGCTAATCTAGATAGCATGGGAACTATATTTATTAGACCAATCCAAATTCTAGAACCACAGAAATGCTAACCGAGCACAAGAACGAATGGGATTACATATAAATCACAATAAAACCAAATTTATGCCGACTAACCTGAAAATTCTTATAAGTTGGAGACCGTGGGAATATAAACGAAGCAGAGGAAGGCCCCAAATGAGATGGGCAGATGATATCAAGAAGCACGTGGGCTCTAGATGGATGACTGTAGCGACAGACAGAGAAGAATGGAAAAGGATTAGGGAAGCCTATGTCCAAAGATGGACCGAAGAAGGCTAATTAGATAGATAGATAGATAGAACCTGGAAATGTTGACTCAGATCTAATTGTTAATGACCAATACTTCGAAGTAGAAAAGAGCTAATATATCTAGGGACATTGGTTAACCTCAATAATAACAGAGGGAAAATAAAGAGGAAAATTATAATTGCAAATAGGTGATATCAAAGTACTTAGCTAACAAATGTCTGTCTCAAAAAAAACTCGTATAATACTATATAAAATACATATAGTCCTCGTTCTCACATATCGATTAAAGAAATGGACCCTAAACAAAACAGAGAAATCTTTGCAATCGATTTTTTAAAGAAAGGTACTGCGCAAGATATTCGGAGCCATCTGTAAAAACGGAATATGACATCGTAGATATAACTTCAATATAAATTGGAAAATACAAGCAAGGGGGAAATCAGAACGGCACAGACAGCTTAAGAAGGTTGAGGCAGTTTAAGGGAATAAGAGAATAATATATTCTCTTAATCGAGAATATATTATTGGTCTATTGGCTATGGTCGTATGGTCCAGTGTACTCACTTTAATATGTGTAAATGTTTTAAATCCAAAATAACTGTGTGCCTTAAGTTATGATAAGTCAGTGGATCGGGCCGGCCGATAAATGGAAAGCACAATAAGAAATGGAAACTTACGGCTCGGTATGACCCATTCTAAAAATCCCTACCAGAAGACGTTAAAATCCTAGAAAACCTATAACGCACACAGTAAATGAGTGTTATCTTTAAAATATTGTTCCGAAAAGTTTGAGATTAAAACCAGTAAATCCAGTCAAGATAAAAACAGTTGTACATGTAACACACCTAGCAATATTAAGAAGAGTAATTCAAAATATGTATATGGTGACAACGACTTCAAAACATTATTAGGAATTTTATTTTAAGAAATTTATTCTAAAAGATGTTTTAAAAAGAACATAAAAATTCATAAAATTCTAACTTACGATGATGTCTGTCGTCAAATGTTTTTGGAACAAAAACTTTTCCATTTATTTCGAACTTGTCACATGCATTTAACAATCTGATAACAACTAATAACTACAATATGAAGTAATAATTGAATGGACACTGAAATTACAGCCGAGCGTGGGAAAATGTGTTTTTGTTGGTGTAATAATTTCTTTTAATAAACCTAATATAACCCTTAAGAATGATTTAATGACGAGTTATTGGAATGATAACCTTGGTCTTTATTATTTATTTGTATATAAACAATAGCTACATGAGTTTAATTGGCAAAATATGCACTAGATCGTAACTATTTATTAATTAGCGTGGTTAAAATTGTTTGGGAGGTTTTGGACGAAGGATCAAATTTGGTGATATAAATCTGCCAGTGGCGCCGTATTATCAGTTAACCCCAAAGAAAAAAAAACAGTAAAAGAAGTCCCCAAATGCCTGGTAATGTGCTAACTTTAATCAAAATAAATGCTAGACCAACGTTACTTAGGAATCGAGCAGAAACGCAGAAAATAGCAGAATCCAGATTGGATTAGGTTGTCAAAACAATAATAAAACCTCAGAAATGACACTAACAAGAAGGAAATAAGAAATAAGACGAGACTCTTTCCAAGAAGAAGAAAAAAAAAAGAAACATTGTCATGAAGAATGAACGAAGCCCGACGAAGTAAAAAAAAACAAAGGTAAAATAAAAAACAAAACCGTTTACGTACTTTACTCAGCTGGAACCGAGAATAAATCCTTGGAAGCAAGATGCTTC